GCAAAGGATCGTTATCTCCCCGTTTCTTCATCGCCGATCATGGAAAAGTATTCGACAAAGAAGAAGAAGTGAATAATGCGTGTTACGAGCTTCTGTGGACAGGATTAATGAGGGACAGTGTAGATTTTGCATTTCGAGAGACTACCCTTTTTTCAAGTCCAAGATATACCAGAAGAGGAACTGTGAGAGAGAGGATGATCCCAAATTGCCCAATTTTTATGGCCTGCCTCGAGATGCTACTTCGTAAGCTGTGTTTTGGCAGCCCAGCTGAGAATCACGTATGGGAACATCTCAGTGTTCTGGCCTATTTTTAAACCTGCTTCCTCACTTTGTGCAATGAACATATGCGGCACTTTTTCTCGCAAAAGCAGCATGAAATGGGAACTGTGCCATCCACGAATCAGAGACGCTAGCAGTTGCTTGTCAACTGAGTTTCAAACAACCTCTCCACTCACACAGCCAAAATACTATCTCAAGAGAGGCTATAAAAAACCGCAGGCGGAATGGGTGAGAAAAACTATATTCACTGTCCTTGGTTGACTTTCACATAATTCCCATAAACCAGATCTGCTGCAAGAGCTCGTAGCACTGCATTCTGCTGTATTCTATCGAATGCTTGTTCATAATCGACGAATAAGCGGCGAAGAAAGCCGGTAATGTCTTGCACACTGCCGTAGCTCTTTTAAGGCGAAATATGGTAGCTCCATGTTGCAACAGTTACTTCAGGAAACAACTCCTGAACCCTCAGCTAGAGCTCATCAGCGGCTCACGTTAGTCAATCTTGAGAAGAAATTTCGTAAACTGAATTTAAAGCAATTAATTATACATCATATACACTACGCAGTTCAGCGCCATCTTACCAGATAAAATGTAGAAGGCTGCCGCATGAAGAAAGTACAGTGGAACAAAAATGAGCGTGATATTTTTCAACGTTTCAACTATTTTTTGCACAAACCAAAGTGCAAAGCAGTGGAAATCCTCAGCAGGCAAACGTTCTCTGGATGGAGCTGTTCTGGTGAAGCGACATACTGGCGGGCAGTGCTCAATCATATAACATATTTCTAACATTCCGATGTTGGGAAAAGTATGTATGTGCAAGCACTCACGTGTGGCAAGTGGGTGGAACAAGTTTGTTGAGATGTTCGAGTGTTTTCTCGGAACGATACTCCTGAACAAATCCCACACTTACAACGATAACAATTGCGATCGTTATGCTAATGGCATCTTCCGTTCGTCCCATCAACAGTGATACTGCCGCACTGGCAAGAAGCAACATAATCAGTGGATTTTTGAACTAAAAACAACAGTTTATTGGCAGTGAGGCCAATATCAGTACTCCTTTTTATGCAACCTGAAAGCAGCAACTGCAGCATGAATTTAGCCACAGGGGCGCCCTGATGAAATTTAGACGATGAGTTGCCAAAGTTAGCCACAATGCGCTGTTATGTATCGAAAACACATCGGCAACGCTCGATCTGGGCAAACATTCGCTTAGAAAAAGAGCTGTGATGAAGAGTTTGGAAGTGGGCATCAAAGTCGAGTTGAGTTCTCCTTCAGCGCCCCCAACAAGTGGTAAAAACGAAATTCCGGAAATCAAATTTAGCTGCTACTTCCACTGAAAGCATGCGATAAACATTCTGAAGGAAATAACTGAAGTATGCGAAAAACTGGAAAAGCATAAAACATTTTCAAATAACTGACATAAGACTGGCCAGTAACGAAACTACGTACGAAAGATGCGCTGACCTGATCCAAGTACTTCCTCCACAGTGGCTCATGCTCCTGGATATCGAATTCATTATAGCCACTAAATTTTTGCCGCCTACTGATTTCTGCTGACGCTAAGCCGTGCTGGATATCTGATCGCAGAGTATGTGCACATTCCTGAAACCGACTCAAACGTGAGTCGACCGGAAATGAAACACACGTCAACTGAGCTACTCCGACAGAGAAACGATGATATAGTGGCCCATGCAATTATCTCAAGAACCAGAAATAGCGGCCCGAAGCCACTTATTTCGACATTCGCTAATGATAAATGCACTTATTTACTCCAGTTCGCTTCAGCACCAAAATCTTCGGCACTGCAGCGGCTTCACGTGTTAACATGGAAATATCGCCACTTACGCATGTAGAAAGAGAACGAGAAGAGAATTCGAAGACGTCTACAGCTTTTCGGAAATGACGTGCTTTCCAAGAAATTAAAAGAACTGCTTGAAAAGCTCCATTCCTCCTTCCTCTTTGAAGTCTCTTTGGCTCGTCCCAGAGCCATTCACAGTAGCAGCAGCATCACTTCACAGAAAACTCTAAGTTTTAAAAAAAGCTCCTTACTAAATACGATAAGCTTGCTGCTTGAAGTGCACTGATCGACTGCATCATAATATCGCCAGCGCCTTTTGACGTAGCAACACAGCATGGAGCTGGTAATCCTCTGTTATCTTCGTTTGAACATTGCTCCAGTTCCTGCGCCTGCAAATCATGCAGGAATTTTTTCGATGATTCACAGTGTGCGCACGATGTTCTGTAATTTTTTTTTTT